GGCCAACTTCCCTCCATTACTACAAACTGAACCCCCCAAAAAACTGACAGACCCATATACAGACATGCATATTATGATAACGTGGCATGCGGATATGCAATTCTAGACTGTGTCATGCTATGCACTTTTATGCGGTATTACTCAGTCATGACATTTCTCGATGAAACTGTGTTGCAAAAGATGCTGCTTTGGATAACAGAATCTTGTCGTGTCCTCGACCAGAACAGCGTGCAATGCTGCAACTACAACGCATCACGTTTATTCTGTTTATGCACGGCATAGAAATGTATACAAATCAACGCAACATGTGTATACGTGTATATTTTCCATGCAACGATGTATGCATGCATGTGGCCATGCATTTAAGATGATGTAAACCCTGCATGCATCCCTGCTTTTATATTCGTACAAATGTATGTTAATAAGTGTGTGCTTGTGGGGGTGTGCGGTGTGCCGTTCGACTCTTCGTATTCCATGTCAATGTGTACTACTACTTGCTATGCCAGGCCTTTCCGTGCGGATCACCGGAGTGGCGGAAGAGGAGAGACCCCCCTGGACCAGCCTGTGTGTTCGTGCAAAGGCACTTGCAGTGCTCCGTGAGGGATGGCTCAATGGATGCTTGAGGCTTTCAGCGGAGAGCTTGGCCGTAATTTCAGGCTTTATCGCTTCATGGATGCTCAGTATCTGAACGTTGGGGGGGGGGCTTTGCACCATTAGCAGCCACAAATTTCCATCATATCTGTCATATAAGCACACTGTACATGGCACCTACACAGCAAAAGGTTGTCGGGCAAGATGCTTCCTCGGTGACATCCGCTTGTGGTTCAGCTGCCCTTAGCATTGAACTCATTAAGTCATTAAGCCAACCTCTGAGGACATCACCATAAGCTCAACTTGGGCTGAGCCGATGATGTAGTGTGCATGACCTGAGCGAAAACTTACACCTCACCGTGCAAAAGCCAACTTGGCCGGTGTCATCGAGGGAAGCAGGTCTGGGCACTCGCACGTCCAGGCGAATGCATGCATCTGGTCGCTTTTTCCACGGCCGGGCAGACTCTTGAAGGATGGACTTATGGACCAAGATGGTGGGGCTTGCTCAACCGCGGACTACAGTACAGGCCTGCACAGAGGACCTGTGCTGTTAGCCCGCTCATGGCAGTGAATGCCCGTCACATTGAACGTCGTGTCCAGAAGAACCGCGGTGCCGAGGCGGTCCGCATGTTCCGCATTCAGGGGCGTCTGCAGATGATCACCTTGAAGATCCACCATGTTGCTTCTGGCCAAGCTGCAAGTACCCGTTGCCCACATCTGCTTGAAAGAGGCAGCACAATGCGATGTTCACCAACACGTTCATGGTGGGTCGAGCTAGTAACCTTATTGGAGCATTGGCATTGATGACAGGATCTCCATGTATGAACATTGGGTACAGTAGGCCACCAGTAGCAAAAAAGCATAAGAAACATCTCCAAAGGCTTCTCTCAAGGAAGCCGATGGCCATGGAGAGAACCTCTGGATCTTCTTTGATGCGGCCGCGCACAAAGCCCAAGGCTGTGCCCGACTGTCGAAGGGCCTCGGTTATTATGGCTCGGGAAAGAGCTCACGGATCTCACGGATGTGATTCTATAGCCGCGGCCAGGTAACTGCCATAATGATCTCCGGGTCTTCCCGCAGGTCCTCTGATGCGAACTGCAGGGCCATGCAGTCCTGACATGAGCAGATGCTTGCTCTCGACGGTACAGCTTGACGGTTCCACTGGCTCTGCTCCTGGCACACTGCAGCCAGAACAATTTCTCGATCTCGCCTGCCAGACGAAATGAAATTCCAAGTGTTCCGAAAGACCTTAGAAAAAAGATGCCCCACCTGCCTCCAAGCAGCCTCTGCCTCGCCTAACTGCTGCCAGTTGTTGCGCACGGCCTCTAGCATGTCTTCTCGGTTTCGCTGAAGTCCTGTAGAACAAGCCGTTCACTGTCGAGGGCAGGGGCTCCGTTATCCCAAAAAGCTATCGGACATGTCGGCATGAAACGTCCTGCCGGCTTTGTTTGTGCTACAGGAGGACAGCGCACAAGGTGAAGCTCAAGTGCATTCTCTGCCTCAAGCCACTTGCTCTCAGCACTCAGCAAACACCGACCCCCGTGGATGTTTTAAGCTGGCAAAGCACGCTCGAGGGCAGCACCGTCTCGTCCGCGCAGAGGACTTCCCGGAGGACTCCATGCAGCAAATCCCGATCATCAAGCAATTCCGTCCTCGTTTGCTGCGATCAGTGCGAGTGGCTGTGCTGAAGGATACCATAGGCTGCTGCAAAAGCATTTCCTGCATGCTTCAAAAGCCTTGATCCAATGCCAAAGCAATGCTGCCAGGTCGCCGGAAAACCAGGCGCTGCTCGCTCGGGAGGATATTCGTTGCTGAATGAATAACTGCCTGCATTTGGCACTGGATAGAGGTTACTCTAAACTCCATCCTGTGAAGGCCCCGGCGTATATAATGATACCGTGGCGCAAGTTCAAAACTATAGATGTAGCAAGCATTTCCCCAAGAGGATCTCGATGAGCCTTCAAGTCTCGGACTCTCCACGAAGGCTCCTGGCACGTGGCTGCCCGACGGCACTGGCGAGTGCTCTGCAACGTCAACGTCACAGTCAGAGTGAGACGAGGGGGCCGGGGCCCTTGGAGGCAAGCGTCTGCCAGGACTCTGCAGAGCTGCGAGCCATCGAAGCCAAGAATCTGAAGCTCCAGCCTGTGCCCGCATGACAAGCACGCACCGCTGGCCACATCACGTCTTTGTCCCTGCTCCCTCGTCAGATCGGTTGGTGCAGCCAAGGCACTCACTGCCACGTGTTTTGGCCGTGCCGAAGGCTTCTTCCAGGGCTTGGCACCACAAGGCCACGTCCTCCTGAGCTGCGCAACCTAACGAAGCCCTGAGGCTGAGCAGTCGCGCGAAGACCAAGGAGGGCACGCATTGCCCTTCTAGCAAAATCACCCTGGCACCGTGACCTGGGCCGAATCGCACGGTCGAACTGCAAAATACGCTCGTGTTGCGTTGCTCAGGCACCACAAAATTCTGAAAACAAAAACAAGTGTTGCCAAATCGTCCGGCGACGTAACTTCAGGCCTGGTCTCAGAGGAGACACGGGGAGAACCATACTTCTTAGAGTCTTACGCAACTGCGAACTTCACTTCCGAACGGCCAGAATCCGTGCCTGTTGGGCTGGCTTCGAAGCTGCTGGTTGCCAGCAGGGGAAAGGTTACCAATGGGGCCTTGCCCTGCTTAAAGTCCTTCGCGGATGTGTAGTATTGGAACGTCTCATAGCACAGTATGCAGTACCTGCAGATTGATGTCCCACAGCGATATTTGGCACACAATATGCTGAGCTAGCGTGTTGCTCGACAAGCGCGACATTGCTATGCCTTGAGACTGTTTTCAACGCACGGTGCCTGTCTTCGGCTCCTCCACGCCGCAGCACAGTAAGTTCGCCCTCGTGAAGAGTCCTGCAGCCATGGTACCCAAGCTTTTGCCTGTACCGGCTGGAAGAGGTCACTTCAGAGTCCATGTCCTGAGGCTGGTCTGTTGCGTGGGCCCCGATCGGCGAGCCCCAGCGCGCATGGGATGAAATTCAACATGTGCTGTGCAATGCCGTGAGTTTCTCCAGCATAAATTCTCATAGCCTCACCATCCTTGCTCGTGCAATTGCTCCTAACTGGACGCTGCGAAACAACTGCAAAGCGGGAGCAACACGATACGAGTATACACCCATCGTCGGCAAAGGCAAAGCTTCCCGGATCCCCGCTCTGAGGCTGCAACGCAGTCGGCAAACCACACCCACGGCATCGGGTCTATTGCGGAGCAGTGCATGGAGAGCCCTCAGAGCACGGCATCACTGAATCGCTAGCACCAGCACGAATGCACGCAGGTCGTTGACTCTGACAATAAGTTGATCGAATATAGGCAGCAGGCACATCGATGGCATCACTTTTAACCTGCACGACAGAACCAAGAAAGACATGTTGAACGTTAAAGCTACCGGAGGCGAGTCGGAACTCACAGAGGCCTCCGCGCTGTGGACGTGCTGGTGTCGGGCACGCAATGCCTTGGAGCCAAGCTTCGAACCAATGCATCCCTACAGGTACGCGGGAGGTCCTCAGACCACGGCAGAGTCGAGCTGCAGAACAATCGCCAAGAGCGACTGTATCTCCTGCTTCGTGGCCTTGGCCTGCCCAAAAAACTCCCGGCTCAGCTCTCTAAGCGAATGTCCTGGAGTTTCCTTGCGATATCAGGCCCCATGCCCGGAGCGCCAGCAAGAACGGAGCTCGGGACCCGCACCAGCGTTCGTCTTCGAGAATTAGATGTCACAAGTATTGCAAGTTCGACGGGCTGCTTGCCAGGCCGACAGGATCGACCGACAACAAACGCTCAAGAAAGATCCATATATCCTGGCGCCGACTTTTTCCGCTGCTTTCACATCAGTGGTGAAGTCTGCGGTATAGACTTGTTTCGAAGCTGTTTAATCGATATCTCGCATCTCTGACTGTCTTTGAGATTTCTGAAGACCGACCGTTTCCCGGTCGGTTCTCGCTGACTGAAAGCAGGAAACTCCGCAGAACATTTCAAGTAATTCTATCGCCAAACGGCAACGGTATGTACGAACATGTACGATCGAAGGGGTCATGACTCAACTGAGACGATCGATCAAAGCTTGAAGAGCGAAGAGTTGTCACTTCGCACACAAGTGTGCTACACAACAAAACTGCAAGCGATACCTAAAATGTTGATGTTCCCACGCAGTTCAACCGCGACTGCTCGGTATCCACCGCACAATTGCTGTTTTGCCAAACATGGCCCAAACGGCCCGAACAGGGCGGAATCTGACGCAGCCGCCAGCCAGACGCATGCTTGTGCTTCCGACTCGACAGTCGCGATAGTCGGGACATAGTCGGGTTGATAAGTAGTAGGTTAGACATAGGTTAGACCATCAGACCGAGGGCTCCAAGCACATCCAGGCGCTCCGCGGCATCCAAGGCCCCTCGAAGAGAGCCGAACCTGCCCTGACCGGCACCCCTTGAAGCCAAAGTTCGAAACCTGAAGGCAACTGTAGATTCATCCTTGCTGCAGGCTCCCACGGCCCCCACCCCCTTTCGCCTCATCCTGGACCTGGCTGTGCAAGACCTTGAAAAGCTGCAAGCTACTTGCAGTGGAAACAGGTGTAGCGAAGATCTCTTTGACTCTCGCCCCGCTGAACTTAGCATGTCTCTGTTGCACCAGACTCGGCTATGCCTCAGGCACCGTTTTTCATGCCCTTGCAAGCTATGAGATCTGGAGGCTGGTTATTCACTGACCTGTAGTCATGCCTGTTGCGCATCACGATCTGCATGAGAGTAAGCTGGCTGCGGCACAGTGGTCAGCGGCCATGAAGCCTAGGAGTGCAGACTTCTGCGTCTGTGCCCCGCGTGTGGGATCATTGCCGTAGATGGTTCAAGCGGCTCGTCTGTTCCTTTGCAACGGCCTTGCGGAGCTCCTACAAATCGAAAGAAGTTCTAAGAAGAGGTGGTCGAGACGTGTCCCTGCGTGCAATGACATGTAGCGTCCTCCACATGCTCGCGGAGGAGGCCCTGCTCGAGAGAAGCCGGCAAACAATGGTATTAATAGTTGCGACGGCTCGGACTGTCCACAAAAGCAGTCTAGGCATCATGGAAGTGACAACAGTCGGGCCGCGCCCCCTCATGAACGAACTTCTTGTCGTGCAGCTCCATCTGACCCTGGCACTTCGAGCTTCCAGGATGGAGTGCCCAGTGCCAGTATGTCAATGCCGCAGGGTTGAGCCTGCTTCTCTCGCAGCTGCTGCTCGAAAAGCTGCACCCGATGGTGCAGGGCTGCATCCTCCTGCGAAGCTTGGACCCCTGCCTTGTACCTACAGCGCAGCTGCTCGTATGAAGCGGTAGCTCATTCAGCTGCATGCATATTTGCGGGTCAAGATGGGACCCAAGAGTGCATAGAACATGCTGACGACGTGACTGCAGCATCACGCAGTCTTGGTTCAACTAGACTTGTAGATGCGATGCCATGACGTTCACACGATCGCAGCCAACGAGAGCTGTTGGAGCGTTGAAGAGACTTCTGCCTCCTCCATTTTCTTGGCTTCCGCAGCTGCCTGAGCCAGAGAGCTTTTGCACGCCTAGCTGCCGAAACATGCAGACATACTGATAATGATAGACACTCAGAGTTTGTAGCAGGCAGGACAGGCCTGGCTTGCCCTGTGCTTCAGCTCGGCATGTTCCTCTGAGCATGCGAACATGGCGAAAGACCCAACTTAGATCAAGGTTGATGGGCTAGGTCGCAACCGCAGCGTGACGCAGTGCAAACGTAGAAGTGAAATTACACATGACAGAAAGAGCCCATGATCATGCTGGCGACAACACTGCTTAGCGATCAGCGGCATGCGAAGACACCAGTAGCCATGCATAGCAGCTGAATAGACTATCTTTGTCTACAGGGCGCTGCCTTGCGCTTCAAGTCCAATCGCTGCGTGCTTTCTTTGAGCCGCTTCTCCTCCTGCAAACGACTCACTCGTGCAAGTACACGTTTTAGTGTTGACAAGAATGACCTCTACCACGACATCGTCAGGGTACACCGAATGTCGTAGATGCTGTCGCCGAAACTGTAGGCTGCGCTCGGGCCATGTTTAGATTCTAAGGAAAGTCAGCAGGTACTGCTGGCTTTTCTTGTCTGCCCATGTCGCCGATGACCGATTTCTGTCCATCTACACTCAAGCATGTGAGCCATGTGCTGCAACCGGCTCCCGCTGGCGTTGGGCGTCCAGGTTCTGCGTACTGAAGGGGTTTGAGCTCGCCTGGCACATCAAAACATACAGCATCAGACATACCAGACAGCACTGCAGCGCATGATTATACAGGTGACGGACGGACTGAGAAACGTATCATGTGGGTCGGGGGGTGGCTGGGACGGCATGCAGATGCCTGTCTGCCTGAACACATGTCCGTGTCAAGGTCGTGATTGTGCGGGTTTTCTCTTGGTGTCAGTCTGTTCGTTTCGCCTTTTGCTTTGCTTGTGTGGGGCCTGGTCTGCACTGTCTCTCTGTCTGCGTGTGTGTCCAAAGGATGTGGTTTTTGTTGTTTAACATGGGCATAAACGGTCGCGTCTGGTCTGCCTTTCCTCGTGTAGTCTGGGCCACAGCATTAGCAGCAGTGCGACTTCAGTCAGGCACATCAAGATCCGAGCGTGCGGAAGCAGCTTGCAGGAGGAGTCTCGCCAAATACGCCATCGTCACCATGCTGTCCAGGAAACCCGAGTGTGTGCTGGGTACCTCGGTGCACTCTCAGGAGAACTCTGCACGGAGCCTTTTGTTGAGATCACCCTACGTGTACGCCAGAGAACCAAAGGGCTGTCGAGAAAGCGACTTCATCCGTGCGCCAGACCTTTTGCAGGCGGCTGTGAAGTAAGTCCGCGATGCCGGTGCTAAGCTCGCGTGCCTCTCACAACTGCGTTGTTACGATGTCTCAGTGGCATTCCACCTAGTGCAGCTTAACGATGTAGTCAAGTCCAGCTCGGCTGGCCTCGAGAGTCGAGGTTTCTTTGGCAGCATGCAGGCCGCGCATCTCCAAGTCCAGTTGCAGCCTCCGGCCCACTCAAAAGAACTGCCCAACTTCTACTTTCTGATCATGTGATTGGAGAGGACCTGCAGCACAAAGATGCTGTGCAATACGTTGAGAGTGCCTCGCGTGATGGGTGTCCTACTGGAGATGAAAGCCGCCTCTTTGCCTTCTCATACTCCCAACGGTAGTAGCAGCAGTGTTGGTAGTGGTGGCAGTGGTACTGGTGATAGTAGCGTTTAGTAGCAGCACTAGCAGCAGCACTGCGATTACTACTACTGCTACTACTACGACGACGACTACTACTACCACTACCACTACAACTACCACTGCTACTACCACTACGACCACTACGACTACTACGACTACTATACTACGACGACGACGACGACTACTACTACTACCACCACTACTACCACTACTACTACTACGAC